TCAGCATCTGAGTATGCAACAAGGTCACAAGTTGAGGAGCGAAGTAACTACAGACTATGGTCCAAAATTCCCTTGATGTAGCGGAGAACACACTTAATCAAGGCCAAATGTGGCTCACGGGGATCATGCATATGGAGACATATCTGCTGCACAACATAGGAGATGTCTGGACGAGTAAAAGTGAGGTACCGTAGTGCACCAGCAAGTGCCTGATAGTCAGTGGCATCGGCAACAGGAGGACCATCAGCGGAGAGCTTGGCATTAGTATCAATCGGAGTGGAACAGGGTTTGCAACCAGTCATACCAGCACGTTCCAAGAGCTCAAGAATATAGTGACACTATAAGAGGAACATACCAGTGGAACTCCGAGAGACGGTCATCCCAAGAAAATGGTGCAAATGCCCAAGATCCTTCATAGAAAATTCTGCAGTAAGAGAACTCACAACGTTGCATAGGAGATCTCCAGATGAGGCAGTCAATATAATGTCATCAACATAAAGAATCAAATATGCCATGTCGGAGCCACGCCGAAGAACAAAGAGAGAGGTATCCGACTTTGCTTCCAAAAATCCAATATATCAAATAAAGGAAGCAAATCTGCTGTACCAACCCCGGGGCGCCTGTTTCAAGCCATATTGTGATTTATTAAGGCGGCACACATGGTTAGGCTTGGAAGGATCAATGGACCCAGACGGTTGTGCACAATAAACCATTTCTTCCAAGGTGTCGTGGAGAAAAGCATTCTTCACATCTAATTGATGTGCCGCCCAATTTTGAGAGACTGCCAAAGAAAGGACTGTGCGGATGGTGGCTGGCTTGACAATAGGACTGAATGTTTCACCAAAATCACTACCAGGACGTTGTGTAAAACCTCGAAGGACCCAACGAGCTTTGTACGGTCGAGTGTTTCATCTAGATGTAACTTGTGCCGATAGACCCACTTGCCTGTAACAATATTAGTGCCAGGTGGAGGAGGAACAAGATCCCAGGTGTGGTTTGCTTGGAGGGCGGTGAAATCCTCTTGCATAGCATCACGCCAGTTAGGATCTGCCAAAGCACCATGGTATGTCTTCGGAATTGGAGACAACACAGTGGCCTATAGATTCATAATAGTCCTGGGTTGTCAAAAATCGTGCTTGCCTCAAGTGACCATGGTATGATCATTTGCAACGGGCGGTATTGAAACAGATCCCTGTGGAAGAGGAGCACCAGTGAGGAGCCAACAGCCTCAGCCGGGAGCTCAGTGCCACCAGCCATCGAGTGCCCAGCGCTGGTAGGATAGCCAGGGACCGCCGCTGGGTGTGACCCAGTGCCAGCACCGGCCGAAGAACCGACAATCGTCGAAGGCCCAATGCCCGCCGAAGGCCCAGTGGGGTAGCCGGGCGCTGCTGTGTGGAGGGGCACCAGAATTTCCAGGGTCGTCCCAGGGTCTGGAATTTCCAGGTTCTCGCTGGCAACAACCCGAGAATGAACGGGGGCAGCGGGAGAGGACCCAGAGCCGGTGACTCCTGGACCAGCGACTCCTGTACCTGCAACACCTGTACCTGCAACAATGGGTGAAAGAATAGTACTAGACACATAGTCAAACTTGACAGAAAGAAGGTTAGATGAAGGGAGAGGAGCAGGAAGCTCGGCAAAAGGAAAAGAAGATTCATTGAAAGTGACGTGGAGAGAAATAATGAGGCGATTGGCGGCTAAGTCGAGGCAGCGATACCCCTTGTTGACTGAGGGATAGCCTAAGAACACAAAAAGGGTAGACCGAGGAGCAAGCTTATGGGGAGTAGTGGCATATAAATTAGGGTAACATTTGCAACCAAAAACACGAAGATAATGATAGGAAGGAGAGGCACCGCATAGAGCAAAATACTGAGTTTGGAAATTTAGTGTTTTGGTGGGGTGACGGTTAAGAAGATAGGTGGCGGTGTGGAGAGCCTCCACCTAGTAGGATGGTGGGAGGCTAGCTTGGAACATGAGGGAACGCGTGGTGTTATTAGTGGAACGGATGATACATTCGGCGCGACCATTTTGAGAAGAAGTATGAGGACAGGACATGCGAATGGTGGCGCCATGAGTGAGGAGAAAGGTACGAGCGGTGGAGTTGTCGAATTTGTGACCGTTGTCGCATTGGACGGTCTTAATCGTGGTGCCGAACTCAGTAGCAACATAAAAAGGTTAGAAAGGGTAGGAAATGTGTCTGACTTAAGGCGTAAAGGAAAAGTCCATGAATAATGGGAACAATCATCAAGAATTATAAGATAATATTTATAACCACTGACACTAGGAATTGGAGAGGTCCACAAATCATAGTGTATTAAATCAAAATTTGGGGAAGCACAAAATTTGGGGAAGCACGTGAAGTGGATTGAACAAAAGGGAGGCACATGTGGCGGCCTAATTGACAAGCATCACATAAGGTTTCTAACCCACTTTTATTACAAGACAGAATGTAAAGAAGGTGCCAAGTGAGTTAGAGACTCATGGCCAAGATGACCGAGCCAGCGATGCCATAGCACGTGGGTAGATGTGATGGCAGCAAAGGCATGAGGGTGGACCGGTGGCCGAAAGGAGTATAGCTCCCTAGAACTATTGCACCTGACGATCACGTTCCCGTTGCTAGATCCTTCACAAAAAGTCCAAAAGGGTCAAATTCGATAGAACAATTGTCAGTGGTGAAACGAATGACAGAAATAAGACTCTTAATAATATGCAGGGAAACAAGAATATTATGTAAATGGAATGAGAGACCGGGTATAGGAAAAGAAGTAGAGCCGATCGCAGTAACGGGTAGAGAAGAGCCATTACCGACGATGATATTGGACGGTGTAAAAAGGTTGGGAGGATAAGCATGGGATAGGGAGTCAGAGTTTGAGACCATTTGAGAGGAAGCACCTGAGTGCATATACCAGTTGTCGCTTGTCGGTTGGCGGAGGAGTGAGCGTCGTGGTGCTGAAGTTGTTCGCCAAGACTTGAGGGTCCCATGTCCAGGGCTGCTGTTGGGGTGGAGGTGCCGACGAAGCGCCGTAGTAGGAGGCAGGAGTAGACGGGCCGGCGCCGTACTGCTGCTGCGAGCCGGCGTACAGCGGCTGCGGCTGCTGCGGACCGATGCACTGCTGCTGCTAAGCGTTGGCGACGAAGGCTTGAGGACGTGGCGGCAGTGGAGCGAGAGGTGGTTGCGGGCGCGCCCTAGGTTGGCCGGGCCAGACGGCGAACGTCCCTGTGAGCGGGTTCCAGTGCGCCGGCCAAGGACCGAGCGGATGTGCACCAGCCTGACCGCCGCCGGACGTGGAGTGCCAACGTCGGCGCTGTCGGTTGGAGCCCCCGCCGGTTGCGGAGCTTCCCTGTCCGCCGTGGCTACCATGAGTGGTGCGGCCCCGACCGCCCTGTCCGCCCTGGCCAGCCGCGCCATGGCCAGTGGGAGGGCCACCAGGACGTGGCGCAGAAGAGCGTGACGAATAGGAGGCCACAAATGCCGTTGGGGTGGTGGTCTTGCTGGCGAGAGTCACCTCTTCGATGAGTAGATCAGCACGGACGTCGGAATATGACGGAAACGGACGTGTGCGCTTGATCATAGCCACCATATGAGAGTACCGCTCATATTAAGGCCACGAAAAACGTTGAGGACCAAGGTGCGGTCCAAGAGTCCAAGACCGGCTCACCCAAAGTCCCCAGAGCATCCGCCATGCGCTTCATCTTGTTGCAATAGTCGGTGATAGAAAGATCCCCTTGAACAAGGGTCCGAAACTCGGCATCAAGGACGATGGCACGCGTTTCTTTGTTGCCGATGAACTGCTCTTCAAGCCCGAGCCCAATGGTGCGCGATGTCGGGGAAGCAGTGGAGACAGTTTCAATGAGGTTAGGCGCGACACCGTGCCAAAAAGCCATGACTTAACGGCACAATCCATGCGATGCCAGTGAGGATCCGTGGAGAAATCATCGTCGGTGAGCACGAGACAATCAAGGGCATATTTGGACACGGTGTTGAGGAAGAGCGAGCGCCAACGACCGTAGAAGGTGGACGTCTGCTCGAGGACGAGGGGGATCATCAGCTTGATGTTGTTCACCGCGATGGCCTGAGCGTGGAGCTGTGCTTGCTCCACGTTCTCATACTCGGCAAGCCGTTGATCGGCTTCCTCCGCACGAGCAGTGGCTGCCCGGGCCTGGGCGGTGGCCGCTTCGGCAGCAACGATCGCCTCTTCGGCCGCCTGCTGTAGCTCCTCGATGGTCGGCGGCATGGTGACAGAGGAAGAAGCGGCGTGCAGGGGTCGGATGAGGATCGTGGCCGTGACGTAGAGACGCGACGTAGAGGCCGCGATGTTCGTGGCCGCGACGAGGAGGCCGCGACGTAGAGGAACCGCGACGTCCCGTGACGTAGATGAAGCCGCAACACCCGTGACGTAGATGAAGCCACGACGTAACTGTCCGGCTCGAACTTGCCCACCGCGACGTAGATGAAGAACCGCGACGCCCGCGATGAGGACCGTGACGTAGATGAGGACCGCGACGCCAGGCGGGCCGCGATGACGCCAAGCGCGCCGCGATGCCCCGCGATGCAGCGCGTCGGAGGTGGAGGGGTACGCGGCGTAGGGCTGCGCGAGTAGGTGGAGAACGTCGGGGGAGTCCGACGGTCTAGGGAGAGCGGAAGCGAAGGGATCGTGACCCTTTCGATACCATATTGGAGGATTAACTCAACTCAATTTTCCATTAATCTCAAGAGGTGTTTCTATAGAAATACATGGGGATATGAAAGGATAGAGGGAATATGAAAACAAAGAGTCTAACTAATCAAATACTTATTCTAACAGAGATATGATGTACTGCATTTTGTGATAGTTGTAAATTGTGATGCTCATGAGCATGAAGCATAGATGGAAAAATGAAGTAGTACTTTGTTAGGATGATTTCCAGGAAAGCTATGCAGCAGCTACATACTCATGATATTAGCAAGACAAAATGATTTGGAACAAAGTAATCTTTGAAGTCCTTTATTTTTTTTTCTTCAGGGATGTTCTGCTCGAGTATGCATCAGAAACCAAGAGAATAAGGGACACCGTCCTGCAAGCAATGGCCAGGATCTTTGAGCTTGATGAGGACTATTTCATCAGCCAGATGGGTGACAGGGTTCCGGCACACGCCAGATTCAACTACTACCCTCCCTGTCCAAGGCCAGAGCTCGTCTTGGGTATCAAGCCCAACTCCGACCCCGGCGCTCTCACTGTTCTTCTCGTCGACAAAGACGTCGTCGGGCTGCAGGTTCTGCGGGATGGCATGTGGTACAGTGTCCCATCCGCCCGACACTCCTTGCTCATCAACTTGGGAGACTCCATGGAGGTAAGGCGTCTGCGAAACCATTGTCCAAGTTCCTATTCTAGCTAGCTGGTTCTGAATTTCTGTGTAAAATTTTGACGCAGATAATGAACAACGGGATCTTCAAGAGCCCCGTGCACAGGGTCGTCACCACTCACCAACAGAGAAAGAGAGGATGTCACTGGCCATTTTCTACGCCGTTGATGGTGAGAAAATGCTTGAGCCGGCGGCTGGTTTAGTGGACGAGAATCGTCGTCCGGAGAGGTACCGACGAATTAAGGTCAAGGTCTTCGTGGCTGCGCTCCAAGAACATTTCGCCGAAGGGAATGAGAATTGTCTAGACTCTGAAGATCTAAGTTATTGCATCTTTGTTTAAAAAAATGTTTAAACTGTGGCAGGAGGTACAGAGACCCAAGGATAATATAAGAGCTGCTTTTCAGTAATAATTCTTATAAGAAAAAAAAATCTATGGAAACGGTTCTATGGAACAGCTGTGTGCATCTGTTGCTGATTTACGACGTGTGTTTATACACATATATCGTATTTTGTATAAATGTTTCGCTCGTTTCTCTATCCAGAAGTGGAATCTGGAATAGAATAAACGAATTGAAGGGTAATGATCAAACGTCTGTAATGCATTATATATCCTAGAATAGGTCTTTTACCCTTTCTGAATAGTCGATCGCTATTCATCTACTCCCTTAACATCAAATAAAAGAGTTCGACTCAATGCTTTAACACCAAAGTATAGCTCGAATGAAGATAAAATTTATATAAAAATTGTAGATTTTATTTGGAGGAGACCCATAATTTTTTAGTTCATGACTTATTAATTTAATTTTTTTTTTGATACCAACATAATTGATATAATGTTTAGATTTGTATTTGTAGATCTAAACATTATATTGATTGTTTTGGTACCAAGATGGTTCAAACAAAAATGTTGTGAACTAAAAGGGTTTAGATCTCAACGATAAATACGATTCTTATATAAATTTTATCTTTATACTCCCTCCACCCAGACATGATATCATATTTGACTAGAGGGAAAATCATACAAAGTAGACTTTAACCCTTTTTGTGCTCTAAAGTTTCATATAATTTGACTAACTTTTGATCAAAATTTATAAAGTTTGATTTTTTTCTATAATGATTACATTTCTGTACATAGGGAGTATGTGACTATATGAAAAGTTATAGTTTTTGTAGATATGCTTTGTAAGGGTGTCAATAAAAAATGTCTCGATTTATCATTTGCTAGCGCAACATATTTTAGAAAAAATCATAACTTTTTCATATAACCTCGTATAGGGATAACATTTATAAAATTGTAGATACCGAAGAGGTCTTCAATCTTTTAGTTTACAATATTTTTCGTTTAAAGCCATCTTATTACCTAAATAATCAATTTAATTTTAGATCTGCAAATACAAATCAGAACACTGGATCAATTTTTTAAGTATCAAAATGACCTCAAATGAAAATGGCATAAACCACAAAGTTACTTATATCATTTTTTCTTGACAATATTTATATAATTTTTATCTTCATCTAAGTTCATATATAAAAATTATGATATTTTAAAGATGAGTTGGTAGAAAAAGAAAATTCCACCAATTCAAACCATGGTAACCAAAATTCCGCCATCTTAGTCGGCATAATTTGCATTATGTTTTTATCCAGACAAATATTTTTTGCAAAGACTGTTGATACAAAAATGTGACGATGTGATCAACACATGGCAAGCCAGAAGATCTGAGCAGAACGAGACCTGAGATCTGCTTGGCTTCAACACAAAACCAGCCGAATCTGAAAACCCAACGACGTGCCAATCAATTTGACCTGCAATTGACAAGGAGAGAAAATCTTACCAGTAATTTAAGGTGGAACATATCGGTGTTGCTCCAGACAGTTCCAAATGTATGGCTAGATAGCCAATTTAATAAGGCCATCGACTAAATAGTCGATATCCGGCGTATCCATGAAATAAAGATCTTTAAATCAAGGATTATCGGCTAATATTAAATAGTAATGATATGAATATAAATAGCTGATGATCATGGATCATAGCAGATTTATGGTGACGGATTAATCTAGACAAAAACAAGTACAATACACCAAAATACAAAAATCAGAAAATCTTTCCTTAAAATTCCAATATATATGACCAAATGATCGATTGATGTTATCAATCGATTACAGAATTGATAATAAGCAAAGAAACGATATGAGAAAACATCATCGACTAAATAGAACATAATCAATATAAAGTGCGAGCCTATAAATTTGATGAAAAGAGTGTGACATGCGAACAATCGACTGTCTAATGTAAATGAATTCATAAACAATCTGGATCTAATCTATTATCATCAATAGTGAGGTTCGACCGGATCGATGCAGCTATGATAATGATAACAAACTAAACCCGAAGAATCTTTAAAACTATCTATATGTCGACATATTCATAAAAACATGTTATATGCGTGAATGTATAGGCAATCGGCTAAATAGCCGATGTAGGCATAGCAAACAAACAACGTATATATCTCGATCATGAACAAAACCACTAATCAATAATTTCTAATCTAAAGTCTTACCAGTGAGGTTCGATCGGATCGATGCAGCTATAATAGTATCATTAAATTAGATCTCATTAACTAGTGAGATCATTCAAGATTAAAACGTGTCTTTGAATGCATATTATGTTCGATTAAATAGAGATAAAACAACCGATCTAGCGGGATTAAGCCATCAATCATAAGATTTAAAGCGTGACCAGACTGGGAGATGACCAATTAAGATAATATGATGCCGATCTATTTCTATCTCAGTCAAGATGATTTGTTATAATTAATAAGACATTAATTATAACAAGATCGATAACCGATGAGTCAACAAAAAAACAATAAGAAAATCTTATTAATTTTAGCAGATTCGATAACTGGTGATATTGTATTAAACAACAAATTATTTAATACAAGATCGGTAATTTTGATCTATATTATGGTTCGTAAGAGATCAATCAGCTGATGTAGCCTTACAAACAATGGTATGGATCGATAACAAACTTATATTATAGCTCATAAAAGATCAATTAGCTGATGCAGCTTTACAAACACAATACAAGTTGTGACGGTACTCACAAGCAAGCTGGAGGTCGATTGGTCGATGCAGCCTTGTTTGCTGAAGAACTCGCCGAGATCTACAGTACTTCTATTCCTAATGCGATGGCGAAAGCCAGAAAGATTGTATTGATTGAGTGTTCCTATCTTTTACAATGACGGGTTTTATATTTATACCATGGGCGAATAAGAGTCCTGAAGGGACTTGCCCAACAAATTATATCTAAATAAAGAAAAAAATTAAGATACAATGACTCCGCATGCATATACATTAATCCTCCTAACCTCTTGTTTGTAACCACGCCATGCTGCCATGTATTTCAACACAGGTCCGATTTGACTTCCCTTCCCTTCTTCCTTACATAAGTAAATATAATCATGTGGCATCTGGGCACCTAGCCGGCCTTGTATACCTATATACATGATACATGTCCTTGCTTCTCATCCTTGATGTGCACATGGATGTCGATAAAATAATATTCCTTTCGCCTCCCGTCACGTATGGACTTATCTTGCATCCTTATCACGTCAGCAGTCAGGAATCAGGAAGCTTCGTGTCTCCATCCAAAGATATGTCGATTTATTTTCTTATGCAGCCCGACCAAACAATATTAAAATATCCCTTCTTCATTAGTTGATCCGTTTAGCCTTGCACGTGAGTCTTACCATATATAATTGGGCAAATATATTAATTGGCCACACTTGCATGAATACCCATAATAGCCAAACATGCAAGTCTAATGATCACGTATACATGTATATCTCCTCTGCTTTAATCTTGCTGGTATCCAAATTAAGCATAGCTCGTATAGCACTTGGGCTTTCATCATTTTCTATTTGCCTTGCCGGTTGCTCACTCCGATATGTACAGGTGACGCTAGCTGTTTGATATTTTGCTGAAATCCAACTTTCTGCCAACGATATCTCCTTCGCTCCTTCACGTGAAGAGGTCTCGTACGTGAGGCTTCTCCGAAAATATACCAGAGAATATTTTCCGATGAGCTCATAAATATACATCAATTAGGAGATCTTTCTTGCTTTCGATATCATCGGCCGATCTCTTCCTTTTTAGAAAAAGCTTACTAAATTTTAGTGTAAACGAAGACAAATTTAAATATAAAAAAATAAAAAAAAAAACCCTGCATGTCCGATGGAGCTCAATAGCGAATTACAGCTTGGGCCTACCCAATTTTTTGCTCCCCGCTAGTACATCTTAGCAAAAGTCGGACCGTGTCTGAAAAAAGCACCGCTGGTTCGGAATTTCTAAATATCTGCTAGCATATTTTTGGTGCTGTTTTCTTCCACTTTTCTATGGTGTAGATGTATTTTAAGATTCGTGCTGTCTCTGTACATTCTCACCGTTTCCTGTTTACGTGCGCACATCTAGGCTCATTTTAGACGCGAAATCCCCGCTTGTTAATTTCGAAATTCGAGTTGGCCGCGGGGTTGTCTGCAGCAGCGGTGGCCGCGTTCTCGGCGTTGGCCGTGGCGTTGTTTGAGGCCGTTGCTGCGGCGTTGGGGATCCCGCGGCGTTGTCTCAGGCGGTGGTGGTCGCCGCGTTGTCGTAGTCGGCGGCGGCGGCGTTGTTTGAGGCGGCGGAGTCGGCGTTTTCTGAGGCGGCTGCGGCGGCGTTGTCCGAGGCGGCGGCTGCGGCGGCGTTATCGGAGGAGGCGGCAGCGGCTTTGTCGGATCCGGCGGCAGCGGCGGCGTCCCCCACGGTGCCGTTATGTTCTCTTTTGTTTTGTTCTGATTTGTTCTGCGTTTGTGTCAGTGGCGGCATTGGTTGCGGGCTTGGCCGGGGCAAGCCCGCCGGCAAGGCGCTCCGCAACCTCTGCCCGTCCAATGTCGACCACTGCTTCCGAGGTTGCGCTCGTCTGGAAGCCTCTCCCTGCTCCTCCCAGCTCGTGCCGTGCTGTTGGCATGCCAGATCAGTGGATATGTGCTGTATTTTTTATTTTTATTTTTTGGACGTGGCAAACTTTGCATTCCAAATTCCATTGTAAGATTGAATCGCACAGCAGTGTTCTATTCTAATTCCTAGACCAAAAGCTCGATGTGTAGGATAACAAAAGGGAGTAGTTAGTTATACAAACAGAAGAATTACAAGAAATCTCATTCCGCAGCTTGCAGTTGCTTGATTATGCATTTTCAGTTGACTTGCTTCTGAAACAGCTGATGGCAAGTTCCAATTTGCATGCATTCTGAGTGGCGAACTAAAAGCTCAACGTTGTCCTGAAGTCTTTTGTTCTAGTATTTCAGTCAGTTAAGAGTGCTAATGTGTTTGCACATGTCTTTTTTGTAAGCACTTTTGTGTCCTGAAGGCAAGATTGGACTAATGACCTGTGTTTGTATATTGAGTGAAGCACTTTTATAGCAATTCCTCTGTGTTACTTCTACTTGCCACAGAAAAATAAATTAGTATTGCCTGTTAGCCTCCTTGCTTCTTTGTTAGTTTGTGTACTCTGTAACTTGCTTACACTGGCTGCCTTGTTATACCAAGGTACTATAGTTGTCTGCATCAAACACTTTTGTGTCCTGAACTAAGGAAAAGCTCTCCATGATGTATGATCCTGAAGGCAAGATTGGACTAATGATCTGTGTTTGTGTATTGAGTGGAGCACTTTCATAGCAATTCCTATTGCCTGTTAGCCTCCTTGCTTCTTTATTAGCTTGCATACTCTGTAACTTGCTTACACTGGCTGCCTTGTTATACCAAGGTACTATAGTTGTCTGCATCAGACACTTGTGTGTCCTGAACTAAGGAAAAGCTCTCCATGGTTTGCAGGACCCAGCCAAGGAAAAGCTCTCCACTTTTATAGTTTTCTGCTTCTTTGTTTCAGAGTCTTGTGCTTTCTGTGCAGTTGTGATTGTTTTGATTTGAGCTTCTACTGCTTCATGACTTTCAGAATGCAATGAAGTAATCTTAATCTTGTCAGATTGTTCTGTTGCTGGAACATTCTTTAATATTCTGTTAGTGATTTCTGGCTGTTTGATCTATGAATAGGTAGCTTGTTTCCAACTAAACAAAAAGGTGGAGGACTTGCAATTCTTCCTAAAAAAACTTGTTATGAGTCCTGTGTTCTTTGCTGTGTTAATCTGGTTCTAAAGATTCTTGGTTCCTTGTTGGTAATATAATTTTGAAGTACAAATGAATGGAATATATATTTGTCCAGAATTTGTATTAGTTGCTTTTGAATATATTTGCTAGGCTCTGTCACTTACTTTTGGAATTGCTTACTAATAGAATATCTGGGAGGCTTGATCATGCATTTTCAGGTAACATGTTTCTGAAGCTTTAGGTGATGGCAAGCTCGCCTGGATGTATGGGGCTTTGTTTTCTTTTCTTTCTTTTTTTTTCTTGAAACGAGCATGGGGAAAATTTTGGTCCTTCTATCAAACCTATAGTGAAATTAGTTAAACAGATTGGCATACATTCTAGCAGATCATAACCCTTTGGACACCTTCACCGACCTGCTGAACTCTATACAGTAGCTTCAACTATTACAACCGTTGGTGCTTCACATACTTGTGCTGATATTTGCCGTTCCCATTTCCCCTTTTCTGGTGCAGTGAGTGAAGACATATGCATTTGTACCCGCATTTGTGCTGATACTTGTTGTTTTGACATTCGGAGCATCCTAGTTTGTTGTTGTAGCAAGCATTCCATTTTTGTTGTGGCTATCTATCTTGCTGAAATACTTGGAAGTAGTATACTCTAAAAAATAGCACATTTTGGTCTGATGTTACTAATTTGGGGCTAAACCTAAACATGAGAGAGAGAGAGGAGTTTGTTTTTGTGTGTTGTCGTGATCTTTCAAAACTATTGTTATTTTGACTGCAGGTGCCTTATTTGCAGCGTCAGTTCATGTTCAGGTTAAGTTTAGTAGAACCTATTTTCAGTTTAATTCAGTTCGAGTCCAGTAGAATCTGCGGGTAAAATAATTCAGTCCAAGTCCAGTAGAATCTATTTTAGTATAAGTTCAGGTTCTGTTTAGTACAATGTAGGTTCAATCCAGTCCAGTATCCTGCATTATTGTTTCAGTGAACTGCAATAGTGTTTGACTGTTAAGTATTTCAGTCTTATCGTTTTCAGTATGTTGGCATTTTTTCATCGTTTTCATTATGTTGGCATTTTTTCCTCTAATGCTCAGTGCAGCAGCAACCTGATAGTAGACACTGCCCAGCTTCATGTTCTTTTCATCAATTTCTAGAAGGAGAAGGTGCTGCAGCTCACTTCGGTTTTCGTTCTGTGCAGGTAAAGCAGGTTAGCAGCACACAAATCTTGTGGTATGTGCATGTCCTTTTCATGATCTAGAGAAGCAATTCAGCTTATCTAATACATGTTTATTCCTTCAAGTACAGTTTTCAGTTCAGGTCACCATGTGTCTTGGGTCTTATGTGCTGGATCTTTTTTAAGCTGAAAGCTAGGAGCTTGAGTGCTTTTTAGTTGGATTAATTATTAAGCTGCTAATGTGGATGTGTACAGTTAATTAGCGGATGGTGATGATGTTTGAGTTTATTTTAGTTTTCAGTTTGAGGTTGAGTGATTCGGTTTTCCCTTTCATCAAGGTTCACTGTTTCATATTATCATTATTTCAGTGCTCTCTGTGATTTTCTGTTTGTTTCCCGTGATCCAGTTTCTCAGTCTTCTTTGTACATTTACTCATTTAGGAGTCATGGATGCTAGGAGCAAATGTTGTTTTGGTAATGGTGGCCTAGAGGAAAGTACTCGAGCAGATCATGGTCGTCAAGGATCTAAACCTGAATGTGTGTGTCATACTAGTAATGTAAGTTCTTAGTTATTTTGAAGTTAATTGTTTAAATATTGTTTTTTAATTGTATGGGTTTCTATGTTGTTTCAGGCTTTCCTTTCATCTGCTAATGTAAATTTGTTGGAGCAATTTGTTTAATTTTGTAAATTTCCTAATTCCAAGATCTAATTTTGGTGGAGAAGTAAATGTACTTAGTTAGATAATATGTGTTCTGCTCAGTGAAACGGAAAGAAGATTGCTTATATGCGGAGCTATCTCTATTTCAAATATGTACAACTAATCATAGGGCACATTAACACCCTGATGCATACATAGTGGATCAGTTGTAGTATTAAAATGACACTTATCAATTGTTAAAATATCATTAGCTTCTTTTTATTTGAATCTGAACTTCATCCTTTGTTTTTTTGTTATGTGAGAATGAAACAGATTCACTAGAAAATCTGAGTGAGCATTTGATGTGAATTGAGGTCTTAGAACTCAGTTTTTAATATCTGATTTCTAAGGAAGGTTAGCCTCTGATTTCCAAGTTTATTAACCTTCCTTGAAAGCTTCCAAATATGCCTTTAGGTGTTTTCTGTGTGCTGTTATTAAAAAAAAACTTTTAGGTATCATTGATAAGTCTATGCTAATTAGCGAAGTGACAATAATATCTGATTATGTGTGCATAGGAAACTCTAATTATGTGTTATAATTTCTGTTCGTCTTGAATTGTCCTGCATATTTCCTGATTATGTTTTCTAATTTTTTTTATTAGAGTTGCTGTGAGATGGCTGGTGGTGGTGGAGCTGCTGCGCTAAAATGACAGTTAATAAATCTGTCAGACCAATTTCACCTGTCTAGCTAGATATGTATATCTATATCTACTAGTAGTAGTAGGCCATTTGCACACTGAACTTTAGCATTGTTTTTCCACGGCTTTGTTGTATCATGTGATGTAAAAATCTTCCAGACATGTGTGACGTAAAAATCTTCTGGACATTGTTTTTTTCTAATTTCAGGAAGTGGAAGATAACTACCATAAAAATCTTCCTGACATGTGACGTACATGTGTTTTTTTTAATATTTATGCTTTGTTGTATCATGTGACATGGCAATTTCTGATTTGTTAAAAAAGCGGAAGACAACAAACATAAAAATCTTCCACAAGATGTATAGTTAGTCCCCGCTGGTTTTGGACCTAAAATCTATGCCCAATCCAGTGGGTCAAGTTAGGTTGGGCTGCCTGCAAGTTTTTAGTGTAAAATATATATATTTTATTAGGGATAGTGTAAAATAATGAAAATAATGCTTCAGGTTGAGAAAAAATTATTCCCCAAAAAAAAGGTTGAGAAAAAGTTTTATTGACAGTAAAACCTCTGTCCAGATCCGGTCCGATAAGGCCAGCGGGCTGGGCTGAGCCAGTTTTGCTCAGGTCTACTCGCTATTCGCTGGTTCATCCGCGGCGAATGTCCCTTCTCCACCACCGCTTCGCCTCGGTACCGCGACTCCTCGTCGACGGCGCTGGGGGGCACCAGTGCGGCGGATCCGACATTTCGGTAATTATATCCAGTAATCACCGCGATAAGAGGTGCATCGATCTTTGATCCGGAGTAGTGGCAGCCTGGCAGGCCGTCGCGTGCTCATACCTGTTCTCTTCGGGCATCGCCTTCCGCCGCCAAGACCGGCGACCGGCTACCTGTCTACGCTGCCTTCCTTCCTCCACCATCTCCCAGAACGGCACAAATTGTCTCCGCTTGTGGTTGATTTCGGTTAGGCCTACTGTTTGTTGTCTGCAAAGGAGAAATATTTAAGTACCTCTATATCAAGCTGATAGCTATCCTCATTTGATGAACCCTCTTGGCTCTTGTTGACTAGAGAAATTTCTTAAGTTATGAATCAGATGAGTTAGTAGTAAATATTTTATTTGTCCTATTTTATGAATTTGATAATGACAGGGATGACTATATGTGGTTGTCCCCCTATTCTTTGACAGTGACTATATGGATTTAATTTATTTTATTAACACAACAACTCTAAACTAATAATTAAATAATTTTTAGGGTCCAGATTTAATTTATTTTTAACACAACAACTCTAAACGTTTTTAAGGGTCCACGACCGACCGAAGCCTCTTGCTAGCCGGTGAAATCCAGCAATAAACTCTGGGAAATTTTTTTTTCCAAGAGAGCACTTATGGCAGATGAATCATGGAGGATTCCTATGTTAGTGCAAGAACTGGCGGCCAAGGTGCAGCAACCACCAAGCAGGTACGTGCAGCCGGAGCAGTATCATCCTGTCAGCCTAGATGTTGGTGCCGAGACGCCGAAGCCCATCCCTGTAATCGACCTCAGCCGGCTGTCGGCTGCTGATGGTGCCGATGATGAGAGCGGCAAGCTCCGGTTAGCCCTGCAGAGCTGGGGGCTCTTCCTGGTGAGCCTCTCAGCTCCTGTTCTTGCCCTTCTTGCATGCTAGTTTTACTTTTCTTCATCAAATATCTGCTGCTCTGTGACATGTAACAGTCAAGTGGATGTAATTCCAGGTTGCTAACCATGGCATAGATTCCGATTTGATGGATGATTTAATCGATGCGTCAAGAGAGTTTTTCCATCTGCCGCTTGAAGATAAGCAAAAGTGCAGCAACTTGATAGACGGCAAGCATTTCCAGGTGGAAGGATATGGAAATGACCCAGTGAGATCCAAGGATCAAAGCCTTGACTGGTTGGATCGACTGCATCTCAGGGTAGAACCGGAAGATGAGAGGAATCTCGCCCATTGGCCTGAGCATCCCAAAACTTTCAGGTAATGTTGTCAATTTTGCAAGAATAGGTAATATTTGCTTTCTTATTATATCATAGACAATGTAGCTCAAGTAAAAAAAAACATAGCATCAGTAATCCGAAATAGTTTGCTCAACTAATTCACAGCTATTTACAGGGCTCTTTTACATGAGTACACATTGAACTGCAAGAGAATCAAAGATTGTATCCTTCGGACAACAGCCAAGACTTTAGGACTTAACGAAGATTACTTTGTGGCACAATTTAACAACAAGGCTCCTAGTTTTGCCAGATTTAACTACTACCCACCGTGTCCAAGACCGGATCTTGTCTTTGGCTTCAAGCCTCACTCGGACAGTGGTGTTCTTACCATTCTTCTCATGGACAAAGATGTTGGTGGACTGCAAGTTCTTAGGGATGGCATGTGGCACAATGTTCCAACTAGTCCTTACAGGTTGCTGATTAACATAGGAGACTACGTGGAGGTACTTAGTTCCAAATTATCTACACTGTGATATATGTCATGATGCATATTTTTTTCTCGAGCGGGTCTAGCCATGATGCATATTTGGGTTGTTGATTCTCTGATCTGACCTTTGCGGACACAGATAATGAGCAATGGGATCTTCAAGAGCCCAGTGCATAGAGCGGTCACTAACACGGAGAAAGAGAGGATCTCATTGGCCATGTTCCATGGCCTGGATCCTGAGAAAGAGATTGAGCCGGCAGCTGCTCTGTTAAATGAGAAGCAACCGGGACGGTACAGGACACTGAAAGCCAAGGAGTACCTGGCTGGGTTCTTTGAACATTTTTGTCAAGGAACTAGATTCATCGAGTCTGTGAAGATCTAAACGAGGTTTGATGTCTCTCATTCTCGACTGTGTAACAAAGAATCATTACAGTTCTTAAATATAATGGTCCCTCTGTAAGGGTACAATTCCTGTTTATTCCTTCTGTGTAAAAACATAAAATGTGCTTTTTGGACAAGTTTGTCCTTAAGTATACTATGTATTTCAGATTTGATGTAAATAAACGCTTTGATCGTTCACCGAAAAATTGTTCATTGAGAAAAAAGAAACACTTTGCTCTCTGTAACCCCAGTCAATATCCATACCAAATACTATATATTGATTAAGGGTGCTATAGTCATTTTAGCGTGTCGTTATTTTAGAGCAAGATATGTCCAATATTCATATCATTGGCTCGTGGTAATATACTCCATCCATATTTTTAAATGCCGTATAGATGTCCTAAGTCAAATATTTATAACTCTGACTATTAATTTAAATAAAATTCATGTAGTTTCACAACATGTGAACTATATACTATCAAAGTATTTTTCATGGTGAACCTAAAAACATAAATTTTATGTTATTAATCTATATAATTTTAAAAAATAATGGTCAAAGATAAAAAGACATTTGACTTAGTATAAAACTAATATGGCATGTAAAATGTTCTTAAAAATGGAGGGAGTATATATATATATATATTTATACCTCTATCAACATCAGTTGTTATCACGGACGACCAGTGACTAATATCCTCATTTTGAGGGGGTAAATGTCATAGTTTTGTAGGGTGAAGTAGATGAAAACCAATAGTGTGTTGTAGTCTTGTATCCCTCCAACCCCCCCTCCTCTGTATCAATACAAACACCTATTCTCATGTTTGCTAGACAATGAAATGAGTAAAATGATTTTGGATCTTTAATTTTTCCCCTTATTCTCACATAGGTCATTAAACTTTCAAAACGAGGATATTAGTCATTTAACATTTTTAAGTGATTCACTGAACCACTTAAAATGTTGAACAGTTTATACCCAGTGTTTATGGACCTAGGCAATAATCCAACAAAAAGTTCTAGAACATAGTTTACTTAGTTCATATATTATACTCCCTTTATTCCAAATAAACAACTTTTCTGAGGTTTAAAATTTGTTTAAAAAATAGCATTCTATAAAAACATAGGAAACTATGTCGTAATGTGGAAACTAATCACGGGTTCATGCAAACAATAATTGCTAAATCCAGGAGATATCTTTCGGAAAATGAAGGAGACGAATATACATACGTTTTTGCCCGCGTCCTTAATCTATCTGACAAAAAAAATCTAGAAAATTATTTATTTTGAGATGGATGGAGTATTTATTCAGCACGGGCACCATACTTATGAAACTGAATACATCACCTTACAACTTTATTTTTTTTACGAGGAACATGACCTTAAATCTAGATGTTCAGCGACTCAATAACTCTCTCCCTTCTAGAGAAATGCTCATAGTGAGCAGCCATAAGATCCCTGTACTTAATCTTCTTGTACCGTGCTGGGTGCTTCTCATCTAACAGTTCAGCGATCGGCTGGACCTCTTTCTCAAGATCCGTAGCGTAGAACATAGCCAGGGACATCCTCTCCTTCTGAGAGTTGGTCACCACCCTGTGCACCGGGCTCTTGAAGACCCCGTTCGACATTATCTGCATATAAGTGTCCGACGCAAACGGCCAGGAACTCTCAGAATCTGTATACATCCATGACTGCAAATATCACACAAGTTCAGAGAAGGCTACCTCCAAGGAGACGCCGACGTTTACCAGCAATGGCCGGCCGCGCACGGGCGGGACACAGTACCAGGTCCCGTCCCTGTGGAACTGCAGCCCGCCGACGTGTTCGTCCGCCAGGAGCAGCGTCAGGACGCAGGCGTCGTTGTGAGGACTGACGCCGAGGACGAGGTCGGGCCTCGGACAGGCTGGGTAGTAGTTGAATCTGGCGTTCGTGGAGCCCCTGTCGCCGAACTGGCCGATGATGCCGTCGTCGTCGTCGAGGTCCAGAAGCCTGGCCACCGCCCGGAGGATCCCGTCCTTGACTCGCTTGCAGCTCTGACTGTACTCGTGCAGAAGACCCCTGCAAACACGTACGTAGCTCGATTTCCAGCAGTTCAGTTTCAGTGGGACATGTCTAGCTTCAGGAACTCAGTTGTTCCTGAAATTCTTCCATGCCAATTGCAGAACTGACTGCTTCTGAAGATTTAAAAAAAATTGAGGAAAGGAATGAAACGGGCGGTTAAAATTAATTACCTGAAAGATTCAGGGTGTCCGGGCCAGCGATCCATGTTTCTCTCGTCCGCCGGCTCAACCCTGAGATTATGCATGAAAACGGATCGGATACGAACGGATATCACTGATATTAATTTGAATTTGAATACGGATATTGTCAACCATGACGGATAGGATACGATTGGATATCGACATCATAGATATACGATTTGATTATTCGGATACGGATACGGTATCGGATGTTGAATATCCGGACTCAGATACGGACATATTTGAACCCCTCTAAACAGATTCGGTCTCGAATACGATCGGAAAATATCCGTAGCGTTTTCACCCCTACCTGAGATGCAGCCGGTCGCACCAGTCCAGGATCTGGTCCTGGGTATACACCTGCTCATTTCCATATCCTTCTAGCTGCCAATGCTTCCCTTCAATCAGGTTGCTGTACGCTTGCTTCTCTTCCAGCGGCTTGCGGAAGAACTCCCGTGATGCAGTGCTGAGAGAATCCAACAGTGAGCTCTCGATCCCATGCTCAGTAACCTGGACAGAACCAAGGGCAAGAACTCCATCCATGAAGTAAATAAATAAAACTGGAAGAAAGATTAACCTTAGGGCCCGTTCTGTTACAATGGAACGAGCCTGGAATTATTGACGAAGCTTATACAAATTTAGCTAGCCTTTCAGCTTGGAATTTTTGCAGGTAGTTATTCCGGGGGAAAAGAACGAGAGGCCTTAATAATATCTTTTCCCTTCCGAGAGTTCGGAGGGTAACTCTATACTTTTTACTCGGATCACGTGCGTAAAGCTAAAATTGTTTGGCTAAAATACATAAAGTGGAGCTGAAAAATATAGAGCGAAGCGGTCCCAGACACCCTCTAGCTATACTGTAAGTCTGAGAAAAGCTCGAGAACGGAGCTGCAGATAGTCTCACCAGGAAGAACCCCCAGCTCTGCAGCGCCGCGCGCAGCTTGGTAGCCTCCTGGTCAGCACCGTCGGACGCGAACAGCCGGCGGAGATCGATGGTCGGGACGGGCTCCGGCATCTCCGCACCGGCGAGCTGGCCGTCGCGCCTGTCCTGCTCGGGGATCAGGTACCGACTCGGCGGCTCCTGCACGGTAGCCGCCAGCTCCTGCACGAGGCTCGGCACCCTCCATGACTCATCCGCCATTGGGTTCGATTGACCTGATCTGTTCCTGTGTGTCTGCTTGGTTGCATGCTTTCCTCACTTATACGATGGCCCGCCGTTTCTTTGTCCAGAAAATTCCGCCATTGAAAACTATAACAATCACTTCGTTGTCATTCAAAATTACATATTTCCTTCATTGCATCAGTTTTAGATTTTCTGTTCCATCATTATCACTGCTGTTACAGAGGAGTCATGGCGTGACTTCGCTCCCGTACCCAACGTCCAGACACCATCCGATGGTTTACTGGTCAGAAAACTGAACATTTCTTCGTCTTCATTCACAGGACAGATTATATGGAAATGCTAATGTAGTCGTCATGGACGTTGACATCAAGAGACCTTTCTTATGCAAGGGACACATCATTGACCTCATCTTCGTTGAAACTTCCCGACAAATTATTCGCTCCTTCATTTGTCTGAAGAAAAGAAATCCAAGAGCCCAACCAACAGCGCACGTGGACAGCCGCCTTCGCATCTTCTCTGCGCCAACCAACCATGCCGGTTGATGCTAGCTGAGCACCTAGAACTCCCCCCCCCCCCCCCCCCCGGTTGGCCGCGCCCGCGGTCCCCTCGCCAGAACGCACCGCACGCCGCCGCCGCCGTTGCAACCGCGCTGCGCACGTGATGCGCGCACCAGACCGCACCGGACGCAGGCCGCCGGCCGGTCAGCCCCGCCGCCCGAATGCATGACCGCGCAAGAACGCCGTGGAGAGAGAGAGACGGCGTGACGTGCGGTGTGCAGCGGAGCGGGAGGGCGGTGATGGCGCGTGGCGCGGGAGGTCCAAGGTTATGGCCAGATGCCAGATGTCGAGAACAGAGAAGTACTTTTTTGAATCGTCGAATGGTGTCTGGACGTCGGGTATGGGAGTGAAGTCACGCCGTGACTCCTCTGTAACAGCAGTGGCAATGAGGGAACGGAAAATCTAAAACTGATGGCAATAAAGGGAACATGTAATTTTAAATGGCAACGAAGGGATTGTTATAGTTTTCAATGGCAATGAAGGAATTTTCTCTTCTTTGTCTGTCAGGGTCACTTTGTCTAGTCACACCGCAATCTTGATTCGATCTTGACTCCAGGTTCGATTGAGTGGTGGCGCTAGGGGCATTGCATGGAGCGATCAGCGGTGGCGGCGGGTTGCATGCAAGGAGGCCCCAGAGAGGTATACTTGGCCAAATGGGCCAGGCCCGCTGGACCGACCCGGGCATGACATTAAAAAGCACGGCCCAGACATGGCACGACCCGGCCCCATCGGGCCCGTGCTTGGCACAGCCCGGTCGTAGTGCTGTGCCTGGGCCGCCATGTCGGCCCATAGTGCCGGTCCAAGCACGACACGAATAATAGGCCGGCACGAAAGTGGCCCGATTTCTCCCAGCTGATGGGATGCCATCAGGATGCACCAGCACCATTGGATTGGCTGAGAGTGCCATATATAAAGGAAATTGTGCTCAAACCCTAGGTCAGCTCTCCTCTCCACCTCTCCTGCGCAGCTGCGCTCTCCCACAGGGCGACAGTCCCTCTCGAGCTCCCCGTCTCCCCGTGCTCCTCTCCCGCATGCGTGCAGTCGCGTCTCGCGTGCGCGGCGTCGCCCACGGCTGCGCGCGCTCGTGTGCCTCGCGGTGGCAGCGGCGGCCCCGGCCTCCCGGCGGTGGCGGCCTACTCTGTGATTGCTATGAGTCCGTGATGTGTGGATTCGTGAGAGAAATATTTCTAGATCTGTGTTCCTCGATGGACTTGGATTCCTTTGATTTATCAATCTATTTTCCATCTCGATCTGTGATTCTGAGTTCCATTTCGATCTGTGATTGCTATGAATTTGGGATCTCTGAACTTTGATAGTGCCTGGTACAGCACTAGCACGGTGGGCCGCCGTGCTCGTGGGCACGACGCGGCACGGCTAAGAGGCTGTAGTACCGTGTCTGGGCCAAGAAGGCAGCACGGTGGCACTAACAGGCATGTCACAGCTAAGCTGTCGTGCCGCATAGTGCCGTGCCTGGCCGTGCTCGTGCCCATGCCGTGCGGTGCGGCCTGGTTGGCCATATACACAGAGGTGCGACGTGGGCGGAGGCGGCGTGTAGACTCCACATGCATGCAACCGGGTGGGTCCCACGCGCTTCTCTCTCATGCGTCGTGCAGTGGAGTCCTAGTCGGGCCCGTGACAGTTTGCTGCGCTTTGTTCACGCACGCATGGGACGGCCAGGAAATCGAGTATAGACAGGGCCCAAACCCAGGTATACAATCCCCCATAGACCATTAGCTGTTAGGCCTCTCCCTGAGGAGTGACGAGAGCAAGGGATGACGAAACGTCCGCGCGTCCATGATCCATCGACTCATCCTCACGTCACTACTCGTAGCCTGGCCTTGTGTCTTGTGTGCTTTGGTGATTGAGTTGCCTCATGCAGTGACGCATGCGCCGCCCGCACCTACTACTCGATCACCGATTCACCATGGCCCCTCGCGATGCAGGCATCAGCCGAGCTGTGCTGGCATGCCGCATGCAACAAGCGAGCAGGAGCCTGGCATCCTGACCAGAAGCAGGCCATGGCCACCGAGCATCGGCCATCAGATTCAGGGATCAGCAATCGCATGTGACGCCATGAAGTTTGAAGATTCAATTCTCAACGCTCAATCGCCGTGCAGCATGCCAGCAACAGCTAGGCATTTAGGTCTGAATATGACGGATATGATCAGTTTATAATAGTGTTGTTCATCAATCATTATTAAATATGTTAATATTGAGAATATATTCTCATAAAAAAATTGAGAATATATCATTACGATTTGTCTTTGTTTTCCAAGTGAAATTAGATATACGTATATATACCTATACTAAACAAACATATACATAGTGTTAAGAGCCCATCGTAATGAGTTCGTCTTAGGGCTTTTAAAAACTTAGGGCCGGCACTGCACGGCTCTCGCCAGGTTCCTCGCCGACTGCCTCCACATCCTCTTTGCAACATTCCCTCACGTTTGTGTCGCTCTAGCACCGGGCCAAACCCTGAGTCATCGTCGACCTCCTCGTCGCTAACCGTGCACATTGCCAATCCACCAGTGTAGCCGGCGATGACCACGCAGGGCATGGAGGGTGGTGGCGGTGGCGGTGGCGCAAGAGGCATGGAAGAGAGGGGATAGGGTGAGAAGAAGGGTATAATTGCATTTTATACATCCCTCCTCCACACTAACTACTGATTGTACATGTCACGCCAGATCTAAGGGCCAAAATGAAGGGGTGTGGATGTACAGTGCTTGAAGAATTTACAGACTTAGAAATGCAATTTTAGAGTTGATATGATGGACCACATCCCTCAAAAGTTAATAAATCTTCGGTGCATTCTCCACATAATATGCCACATTAGCAAAGCCACATTCAAACCACCCCAAGGTGTTATTTAGACAATTTTTAATATTTTGAGGGGTAAAATACTTACTGTTCTAGATGGAGAGTGAAGTAGATGAACACTAGTAGTAAATGGGGTTTACAAGTTTTTTTCTTTTTTTAGTCCCACTCCCACCAGCGCAGTAGTCTTTCTTTTCCATATTAACACATAGATCCTTACACTCTCAAAGTGAGGATCCGTGTCATTAAACCATTTTAGGTTTTTGGATGCTTATGTATTCACCTCAATCCATGTGTGTTGAAGTGATTTGGTGTGGAATTCCAAACAAACCCTTAAATTTAAAATACTGAAGAGTCTATATCCAGTCTAAGAGTTTATAAACCTGGACGATAATCCAAAAAAAAAAGTTTTAGGACATACTTTTCTTAGTTCATATATTTATTTGGCACGGGCATCATATATTATCTATAGTTATTCCTAATATTTAAGAGAGAAGTGATTCTTCTGTGTGTTTTTTACTTCTTATAATACCCCATGCTCTTTCTTGTCCTCTATGTGACCCCGAACTCATACAATTAGAATCCCACACGTTTCGTGTGTCCAGCGACGGTACGGAGCCCGATCCTAATACGTATTCAGACAAATGACACGACCATTATATCAATCTTCGAACTTCAAATCGTTAATCTCTGAGCTACAATTCATTTAAATGACCACGCAATTAAAGTGGACGTTCCCTGTACGGGCACAATTGCCCGTAAAACTAAAAGATACATCACCTTACAACTTTATTTTTTTTTATTATTATTACGAGGAACACGACCTTAAATCTAGATCTTTAGCGACTCGATGACTCTCTCCCTTTTGGAGAAGTACTCATAGTGAGCAGCCACAGCATCCCTGAACTTGATCTTCTTATACCGTGCTGGCCGCTTCTCATCTACCAGTTCAGCGATCGGCTCCATCTCTTTATCAAACTCCGTAGCGTAGAACATGGCCAGAACATCCTCTCCTTCTCAGAGTTCGCCACCACCCTGTGCACCGGGCCCTTGAAGATCCCGTTCGACATTATCTGCACCGGTCACAAGTGTCCGACGACGACCAAGAACTCATCAGAATCTGTTCGCACATATACCACTGCAAAGTGCCAGTGCAAAAATCGCAGAGGTTCAGAGATGGCTGGCTACCTCCAACGAGACGCCGACGTTGACCAGCAAGGCCCGGCCACGCACGGGCGGGACACGGTACCAGGTCCCATCGCTCTGGAACTGCAGCCCGCCGACGTGTTCGTCCGTCAGGAGCAGCGTCAGGACGCCGACGTCGTTGTGAGGACTGACGCCGAGGACGCGCGCGGTCAGGCCTCGGACAGCCAGGATAGTAGGTGAAGGGACTGTTCACTGGTCGGTGCTGGTGTTGATTTGGGTTAGTTGGTGCTGGTTTTTTTTAAGAGAAAAATACTGTTGGCTGATTAGTTTGGACTAGCTAAAACTAACCCGCCGGAAATGCAATACCCTGCGTATCAGCGGCCGTGGAGCCTATTCCTGTTATGGGATTGGTTGCTTTTTTACTGCAGACTGTATGGTTGCAGGCTTTTTGCAGACTTGGGACCCACTCAGTCAACCATGCAAAGTGCCTAGTGTAGC